TCGGTCTTATCATCTACACTAGTTGTTTAGGATTGATTTAGTTCAAGCATTATCTTGTTTTGAAAGGGAAATTTCAAGGCTAACGCAGAGTTAAAACAGTGGTGCTCGAGGCTTAGGAAACCACATGGCACGTGCATGTGTCGAGGCTGGAGCTAAGGCTCTCGTTATTTTCGATGCCAACCAAGAGTTGGGTGATGCCTCAGCTGCCGAGCTTTACGAATTGACCGGAAACAAGATCCCCATCTCCTTCTTCAAGGTTGATGTTCGTGATGCCGATGCGATTGAGTCTGCTGTTGCCAGTGTTGTCGCGGAACATGGTGCTCCAGATGTTCTCATCAACTCTGCAGGTATTGCCGAGTAAGTACATATCAGAACAATCTGGCAGAAATTTATACTAACAACAATTTTCAGCTCTAACATCCCCGCCGAGACTTATGACCACAACATGTTCAGACGTCTTATCGACATCAACCTCACTGGATCTTTCCTCATGTCCCAAGCCGTCGGAAAGGCTATGATGGCCGCTGGCAAGCCAGGATCGATTGTTCTCGTCGCCTCCATGTCCGGCTCTATCGTCAACTACCCACAAGAGCAATCCTGCTACAACGCCTCCAAAGCCGGTGTCGTTCAACTCGGAAAATCCCTTGGTGCTGAATGGGCTAAGTATAACGTCCGTGTCAACATGATCTCTCCAGGTTACATGGACACTGCTCTCAACAACGTCCCAGCCCTTGATGCCCAAAAGGTTATCTGGAAGTCTCTTACTCCTCAAAACCGCCTCGGTGCTGTTGACGACCTTAACGGTCTCGCCGTTTTCCTCGCTTCCGATGCTTCCGCTTTTATGACCGGATCCAACGTCATTATTGACGGTGGTTACACTTTGTACTAAGCGATAATGAGGAGCTCACTTTCATGAGAGTCCATCAACATCTGGATACTTCATATCTTGGGTAATACCCAAAAACCTACCTGGTCGTTGGATGGTACCTCAGAAAAGGGCTTAATGACTTCTAATACCCTTTGCATAAAGATTTCATTTTCCAAAAATCGATATGATGTTTTCTTTGGTGCATGGCATGAAAAAGGATAGCAAACTTCTCTGTAATTACGTTTTTTCTACAAAGTGGGCGACAAAGGTCTAAAGATTTGTACTCAGGTACTTCGGTTTGGGCTTGGGCAATCTTTGATTTACTCGGCGTTAATATAAAGGTTGCATACAATATGGTCTACATGATCATGAATTGAGCGAATGGGCTCGGTTTAGAGGGAGATGTTTCATCACACTTTTAGATAATGTTATGGCTGGCTTTATGTAATGGTAACAGCATAGCATAGCATTAGCAATGATGCGATCAGCAATGCAAATAATATTTACATATTGATGTCTTTGATACACGGTGATCCATGGAGTGAATTGTAGTTGCATGTTCGACCTATCAGACTTTCAACTCCCGGTTAGTTCCTGATTTACGTCTGTATATGTCCCCTCTCCATGCTTTCCCCTCTTTCTTCCATCTCCCCTCCCTCGCACCTTTTCAACTGATGAAGTAACCAGTTAAACCCACGCATTCAATCTATCGTATCGCATCTCACCGATCCCAATTCACTGAGTCGACTGCATTGTTTACCCTACCCATATTACTCCCATGGCATCCAGAATCCAGTATCCAGAACCCGTAGCATCCATACACACTCGACACACTCACCGAATCAGGATAACAGTGGAGAGACTCAAGAGTGATGAATAGATATAGATATACTTTACAATTACTGCGGAGTGGGTGAGTGAGTGGGTATTCATCTACTCGAAACTCGGAATTGGAATTGGTGGTTTGATTTCGAGGGGTGAGGTATATGTATACCCACTAGCTCTCTCTATTTGACGAGCTATTCGACGAGCAGAAAGATGATGAGCGGAATGTGAGTGTATTGGGTAGGTGGAAAGTCTATCGCATGGATAAATAAGATTTCGTTCTTGGTATTTTGGATTGGATGGATGGTACTTTGGAATTTGATTTCTCGTGATGGATTTGTGGAGAGGTGGATGGATGGATAGATAGATAGATAGATATGTAGAAAGATATCCGGATATTTCTTACCGCCTACCTGCCTGGTCTTGGTGATTTAGAATCACATATCTATTGACTCTTCTCAAACTTTTTATTTTTACGGTTTGTTTTGTTCAATTTGCGGCGTTCTTATTTCTTGTATTGTATTTTATGATTACATATATTCATCGCTTATTTTTATTTCTATTTCTATTCCCCTCATTATTATTACCTATTAAGTCGAATACCTCATTTTCTGGCCACGCCTTTTTTGAGCTACTCATTCATATCAAAAATCGCTTTTTTATTTTATTGATATTTCTTTCAAAATACAATATAATTTGTTAAAAAATATATATATATATAATTCAGATTGTTTTAAATTTATTCTAGAAATTTCAGATTTTTAGGATCTTTCTGAATGAAAATTTAAAGCTTTGAAATAACGATTTTAAATTTACATAGGGATTATATATATAAATTTAAAATCTATTTCAAATCTTTAATAACCTTTCAACTACAATTAATAATACAAAATTGATTGATTTTTTAAAGGTTTTAGGCTTGAATTTATGTAGAGAATCAAAAAAGAATTCAAAAATTAATAGTTATAGAGATATAACTTAAACAAGAAAAAATGTTACGAGGTGATACTAGTGTTACGGAGGTACCCGCACCGCAACATGGATTATAAGATAAACCTAAGGCCTTGGTGTTGGAACCTACGAAAACAGCACTGTAGGGACAGTTGAATTGAAGGGTAACGAAAGATAGCGGTAACCAGATAAGTAATCAGTGATTAAAAGATAGGTACCTATCTTTTGTTGTTACCTACCCTACAGTGGGCACAGGGTAAGCAGCAGTCACAGGTCGGCTAGAGAGCACAGGTTAGATAAGCGGTGGCATCATTACCAGTCACGGGATGGACATCACGTGATCAGGAAACCGACTTGTCGAAATCGGCTTTACGGTAATCGACTTGTCGATTCATAAGGTACGAAAATCTATATAAGGGAATGGGTTTCATTATAATGTAGAGCTTCGTGCTCAAGAACAATCATTAGTTTCATTACTATAGTTGCGAGAATTGCAACCAGTTACAACCTTATTGAATTCCTACTTGAAGTCTAGTCTAAACCACCTCGAGAGATCTCTAGACACTTCCACGTGACCCTAGAGGCAGCTCCCGTAACAACTAGCCCTTCTTGTTCTATCCTATCCTGCTATATATATAAGAGCAAGATAGAATTTTCAGTTCTATTTCCTAGTCTTTTATGCTTTTGTAACATAGTAATAAAGCTTCTGAATACTCTTAGAAGTAATCTCGTGACAAAAAAGAACTCCTATAAGTTCAATAGTATCTTTATAAATATTTATATATTGATAATTTTTAAATTTTAATTTAATTTCTTATATTACAAAAACTTCAAACTTTTAATGAAAACTTTTAGTTTATTTTTAACAATTTTTATTAAAAAGTTATTAAAGATTTTTTTTAAAAAGTAAAATTTATATATGATTCTCATACAAATTTAAAAATCGATATTTTAAAGCTTCGAATCTCTAACCCAAAAAATTCTAAAAGTCTAATTTTTTTTAAAAAAAAAAGCTTAAGACAATCTGAATTGTAAATATACAAATTTTCAGTAAATTCTATTCATAAATAAGAAAGTTAAAAAAGTGATTCTTGGTGTGAAAAGGTGGCTCAAAATAGGAGTGGCCAGAAAATGGGGTACCCGACTTACTGGCCACTTCATCGCCCTCATCGCCTCACCACCTCTTTCCCTCTTTCTATTATCTTATTCCACATTTCCCATTTCCCATCCCATCCCTTTCCATTCCCATTCTATAGATTCTCAACTTCTGAGTAACCACTCACTACTACCAAACTGTACAAGGAGTACGCACCCACAAGACGAATACCATACCAGCCTTGACCAATACTCCGCGGATATCCTATTTCTCAAACTTCCCCTATCACTACACTATCTATTCTACTCTACCATCCCATCTAGATTCCATTCTCGAATTCAAATCCAAATATACACCAGCACTGCACTATTAAATTCTCCCGCCCTCATCTCCATCTCCATCTGCATCTGCACCCCTTCATCATCCCCGTCCTCATTCTCTCAGCTTCCTATCATGCCCTCTCCCCTCTCGCTTCCCCTCCCTTTTCTCCTTTTCTTTACCCTCTGCCCCCCTTGCCGCATTTCTCCTCTCCCTTCCCACCCCAACTAAACATCAAACCCTCCCCTTTCTTCCCTCCTCTCTGCCTATACATCCATCCCATCCAAACTCACTCACCCTACTCATAATCTACACCAACTCGCAGTCCTTAGGGTCTATACTAGCACCATACTATGTCCAAATCATGCATCCAGCTTCTTAAATTCCTTCTCGCTTCCCCATCCCATTCTTCCTCGCTAGATAACGAGCATCGAGAGGTAGGTATCTACCTACTCACATTAAACACAACACATGATGAGCAAAGAGTCGGACCTGCTGTCTGTTGCATTTAGTTCCTTCATTGCCCTTGTGTAAGACTACTGTTACCGGCAAGTCAACAGGTATCTCCACAAAACATCAATCTTCGGTCACATACAATCACAGACACACGAGAATTTTTATATATAAGTACTTTTCAGTCAAATGCATTCAAGTAACACCAACTCCCATGATTTTCCCACCAATATCTTTTTACGATACGAAACCTAAATGTTCTTACTAACTTTCCATTTTCCATCCGCCCACATCACCCCCCAAATGCACCCAGAGACCGCCCATGAAAGAAACATTGGCTCCGCATAAAACATCATGAATGCCTCTACCTAAAAATTCTCATAATGAAACGTGTCAACTGTCTGCATTTCCCATAAATAAACCTCTACCACCAATATCCACACGTATTCCCACCCTTTATCATGCTATCCATCCTCATCTAATATGCAATTAATATCTATCACCACCACGAGCAGGCTTATTCTTTCCCTCAGCAACAGCTTGAAGGATCAACTCCTTAGCCTTCTCAATGCCCTCTTCACTACCAACAACCTCAATTGGATCAGTTCCCTGTCCACGAGGAACAGTAACGTTGCAGCCAGTGGCCTTACGAATACTATTAACCTTGCTGCCATTCTTACCAACAATAGATCCATACAAGCTAGGATCAACAAGAGTAAGGTGTCCAACAAAGTTGTTTTTCGATGCTTGTTCAATGGCTTGAGCTAAGATGGATTTAGCTTGCGCAACATTTTCGGTGGTGCCACGCAAAACCCATGGAATGTCACCAGTCTCTCCAGATTCAGACTTGTTAAAGACGAACCATTCCTCAACGTCATCAGTTGTATCCTTTTCATCTGTGATCAAAGCATCCTTAGCGCTAGCTCCTGAGGGTGGTGTGGCTCTTGCTGGCATTTTAGCTCCTGCATGATCAACTGTGACTTGAAGATCATTTCGCAACTTTCGGAAAAATAGGCCATTGTTTGAAATGTCGTGGTGAAGCTTTCGTGGAACCTGGACAGTTTCACCTTCTTGGCCTTTAACGAGTTCAAGAATATGTGCCTTTGCCTTTTCGACATCAGCAGGAAGGCCAGTAACGGTGATTCCAGTTTGACCACTGCCCTGTCTAGGAATATCGATCGAGACTTTGAAGTTTTTCTCCATACCCTTCTTCGTCTCACCGCCAGCACCGATCAAAGGACGATGCTTGTCGGTTGGAACATCCACAGTTTCTGTTGTTTGGCTATCTCGTTCCTCAACAATCTTTTGAATGGCAGAAACAATGTTATCAACAAGCTGTCGGCTACCTTCAACCTTGATAGCATTACCCTCAGATTCGGCCTTGGGGAATTGCACAACCCGAGCGAGCTCTCGGCGGTCACCAGATCCACCAGCATTGACAATGATGGCATGGATGTTTGCGCCTCCAGCACCGATCAAAGCTCTGTGATGCTTCTTGTCGACATCCAAAGTCTCGGTAACTGTCGAATCAAAAACACTCTTCTTTTCCTCGATCAATTTCTTTGCCTTTGCGACTTGAGATGCTGTTCCCTTGATCTGAATCTCAACTCGTCCTGATGCGTCAGCACTGTCGCGAGAGTTTGGAACATCAATCTTGGCTCCAGTCAATTGTCTCAATTCTTCCATGCCAGCTCCACGTTGACCGATAAGGGAAGGAATCTGGCTTTGCTGAACGCTGACAGTAGCGCTATGAGAGTTATCTTGTAGATATTGAAACAAAGAAAGAATTTCATCTCGGGCTTCATCGGCTCCCTTCTTAGGCCCCTTGATAGAGACTTCATCTGGGGCTTGTTGACGTCGAGCATTTTGACCAGCATCATTTTCTGCATGCTCTTCATCTGTAGGCCGACCCGAGCGTGGGAAATGAATTTGGACCTTGTAACGAGTTTGCAATCTGTTGATCTGGGTTCCCTTGGCACCAATGAGCTCAGGGTGGAACTTAGGATCGATCTTCAGAGTGTACGTGGTCTCATCAGCCCATTGTCTGCCAAGAGCCGAGATATGAGATTTGGCAGCATCTGCTTTGGCCTTAGGTCCCTTCACTTCGACTTGGCCATCCTTGAGTTGAATGTCGACATCGAACTTTTCACGCAACTCGTTCACGAACGAGCCTCCCTTACCAATGAGCTGGTTTGCATGCTTTTGAGGGAAGTCAAAAGAAAGTGTGTAACCACGCTCTTTCTCCTCTTCAATCGCATGTGCGACGAATTCTCTGACCTTGACAGCCAACTTCTCCACAGTGGGTCTAGGTCCTTGAAGTGTGACAACAGTGCCATTAGCAACAACGCGAGTAGGAATTTGGAAGGCTTTGTTCTCCGCGGTGATGAATTTCCTGAGTTTATCGTGGTAACTATGGTTGTCAGCATTCAATCAAACGAAACGTTGATTCAAAGACTTACATTCTTGGAACATCGATCGATTCGCTGGTAATCTCTGCCTGAGAATTAATGACATCAATAATGTGCTTGCGAGCTTCTTCTAAACCTCGCTTAAATTCTGCAATGTCATTTCTTGAAGGTTGACTACGGGGAATACTGTATTCGGGTTCTTTTCCAGCAGGTCCCTCAAAAACAAGGAGTACATCGCCGTTGGGCCCATCTGGCAACACAACGTGCACGCCATAATCCTTCTTGACTCTTGGAGAGATATCTTGTTCAAGATGCTTATGGTAGAAAGAGTTTACTGGAATGTTTGCCATACGTGAGTGAGGGTGAGCATCCATTATGTTCATCAGCTGTCCCTGTACTTCAAACAAGGCATCCGTTTCCTCAGAGAAGATTTCCCAATTCGAGCCACTGCCAACATTTGGTGTGTAAATACGAGCATTGTGAAGCCTCTCGAGTCTTTCGATCTCGCTGCGCTGGCGCAAATATCGTGCAAGGTTGAAAGCATGCTCTTTGCTGTCTGGTGCTCCAGTGAAATGTTGAGTAACATCAATATTGGTAGATTGCGATTTAGTCGATAGCTTTCTGGCTTCCCGCACAGCTTCCTGAATCTTGTCTATAGGGCCAACGACTGTAATGGTGTTATCTTGTTCATCTTTGTCTGGCACAAATAGGGCACATCCAGTTCTGGCAAAAAAGTCCTCTCCTGGGTTACCTTGTTCACCAATAATAGATTGATGGCGACCCTTGCTGATCCCTCTCACTTCTTGGCGCGTGAGCTCTTCGTGCAACTGCTTGGCCCGACGCTCAATCTCCGCACGTGCTGCTAGGACGGCAGCACGGTCACCATTGAGAGTAATGCAGTTGTCAGCAGCAGCTGGAACAAAATTGGGGCCTTCGGGACCATGAGGGGGGGTTCGCCAGATGTAATTAGACGGGATTTCCAACTCGGACAAGTTGTGAGTATTTCTCAAGGAATCGGCATGAGTGTCATGGGGACCAGCAATGAAACGGTAGAATTCCGATGGGATACCACGCAGCTTGGTCTTAGTTGTGCCTGCTTTCTCTCCCACAATTTTCTCGATTGCCTTCTTAGCTTCTGCGACCGCAACAGCATTGCCCACAATAGTGACATCTACTGTGGCATCTTCATCATCGTCGACTGGGCTCGCCTTATTGTCCTTGGGCATTTGAATTCTAGCACCAGTAGCTTCTTGTAACTCCTTAATCTTTGAACCTTGTTTTCCGATGATGAAGGCTCGTGCTTTGCTGGGGATAGTGACGTGGATTTCTTGCTGGTGAGAGTGTTAGATTAAGCAAAGGAATAAAGTAATGATTGACTTACCTTTGCACCAATTTGTTCCATCAAAGCCTTGATACCGGTACGAGAAGCTGCGGGAGGACCATAAGCTGTAAAGGTCATCTTACCTCCCATACCAGTTGTTTGAGTAATATTAGACCTATACTTCTTGTTGATCTCTCTCAAAATTTCTGGCAAAGGCTTCTTGAGCTGGTCACGTTTGAGAATGTGATCTTTGGCTAATTCGATTCTTTCTTGATGTTGTTGGCCTGGTTGATTGACCTTTGGTCGATTGACAGAAGACATTGGGGTTGCTGCGCCTGAGATGGGAGTAGAAGCTCGGGATGCTCCATTTGTTGGAGTTCCATTGGCATTGGCTGACGATTTTCCGCCGCCCCAAATACCTTGAGCTTGAGGCTTAGGTTGGGAAGAGGCTCCGAGAGCTGGGAACAACTCGTGAGATTGTGTATCGATTGAGGGCTCCTTGCGGACGTCCTCCTTTTGTTTTCCTGCAGCTTTTGTGGACACATTGGGGACCCATCCTGGAGCGGTGGAATCTCCATTGACGTCCTCGAGAACGCTGGTAGAGGTAGGTTGTTCACCATGCTTCAAATCTTCTTCATCGGGGACCTCCTCAATAGAGGGTTGATGTTCATGATCGTGTTGCTGCATGAGCTTCTGAGCCCGAGTAAGTTCAGGCCCATTGCCGTTAGCTTCGACATGGCCATTTAGCACAGCAGTATCGACGGCAGACATGGTTGGAATGATTCAGATGTTAAGATTGTAGAATATGGACGAGATTGAGGTTGCAATCGACTAGTGATTCTATGACATGGCAATTACATTAGTATAAGATGCAATGAACAGTATGCTTCCCACAACAACTACAATTGAACAGAGACTATAGCTTACCTAAAGAATTGCTGAGGGATTGAGGACAGGGCGAACGCAGATCAATTGAACCGGGAAGATAAGGACAAGTAAGGCCACGCAGACAAATTATGGGAGAATGAGCTCCAAGGTCTAGAAGACTGGCATAAGGGGCGATGCAGTAATAATGTGGGAAGGTCTGTAGAAATTGATAAAATGCAGAGCTCTTCTCGATTGAATAGGCTCTGTAAGTACAAGTTTCTTCTGTTATCTGAAAAGTTATGTGCAACGACGTTGAAAGTTGTCAAGATGTCAAAAGTTGTATCGTGGGTGGAACGTATTATGGAACTTTCTTGAACACTTAATCAGAAGCTTGGGCTACAAAATGAACCTGGTAAGCGAACCCGATCTAGTCAGATTGTCTTGGCAACCCGTGACTTTGCAAAGGCCTCGAGTCCTCGAGTTATTCCATATCCGAAGAAACATTGAAGCAGTGAACGAAGCTGTTATCAAAATCTGCAGTTTAATTCCCAATTATTCGAGTCAAAGACGTCAAGCTCTGGAAATCATATGAGTGTTGTTTTTTTTCCTGATTCATGAGGAAATTAACTAAGAATGAACGCTTCAAATTCTTACCAAATCATAAAAGCTTGCATGTTGGATTCTAGTATGTATTGCACTGATTTCACCAGGTTCAGCGATGATGAGTACGGTACATAAACATGACCTAGTACTGGGCCTGATTCTATTCAATCTTCCCCGCTGGTTTTCAATGTCAATACAATTGAGGGGTATGTCCACATGCAAATTTCCCCTTCGCATTCGATTAATGTATAAGACTTAATCAGATAGCACGTGAAAGGGTCGACGATGATGCACCTGATGCTTTTGAGAAGGTAGAGCTGGAGTGGCTTCATCATGGAGAGAGCACTTGGGTATACATACATGTACTTACATGGCATTCAAATTGGCAAGAAAAGTACCCTCAGACTCAAAGATATCTGCCAAGGCGAGAGCTTCTTGATGAATTTCTGTGCCAAGTGGCTATACTTTATTCCTGTCTTGAGGAGAGGATTTTGAGCTCTGAGTGCTCTCGAAATGGCTTGTCACATAGTCGAATGGTCATGGACTTCGAATCCAGTTCGAAATTCGATTGAGGATCACCCCTCCTGTTGTGTAGCAGATGTGGTGTCTCGACGTCTCTCAGAGTCAGCCCACCCACCTGCCCCAGGTAACATATCACCACTCTATACAGAACAGTACAAGAGGTCCGCTGCACTGTTGTATATCATGAGCAGGTACTATACCACATTGTAACGGCGTTTTTCCTTTGTCTATTTTGAAATTACAGAGCAGATAATGGTTACTTCGGCAACCAGGAGTATGACCCCACTATCTCAATAGCGGGCGTAGATGAAGCTGTCTCGTTTGAGATCTCGGGGATAAGAGAACAATTTGTATCGAAAGTCACCTAAAGGTTGCATTCAGAGGATAAGAACGATCCGGGCTATTTGTAGAAGAAAGTGATAGTATGCTGTACCTGTACAATTGCATACAACGGCTGAGGATATCTCCTTATGTAGAAGCGAGAAAGATCCCGATGAATGATGAAAAAAAAAAATTGGCGATTGTAGACTGTTGTACCACATTATGACTTTCAAATTCGAATCTATGAGTAAGGATAAGGAGGTGAAATTGAAAAGATCCTTGCTCTCGGAACCAGGGATACAGCTTCATATGTCTTTCCGGTGGTATCTGTTAACTTCATTCACCTTAGTCGTCTGATAATATTGTCACTATCGCTCAGGTGGGGAGGAGAAAACGATGATCTTCAAGGGATCAAAAATCTAGAAGCCGGGAGCATGAAAGCTATGGGGATTTTTGATTCATTGCACCAACGGTTTTCAACAGTTCATTACTAGGGACTTAATATCAGTTACGTACTTTGTACACTAATGAATATGAAGGTGTGGTATCGGATGTTGACAATTTTCGTAGGTATTTTGTCCGAACAAACCGGTGGAACAAAGTGATGGTGGTGGTGGTGGTGGTGGGTTGTTCTTTGGGGAAAGCTACCAGATAGTGTAGCTGGGAAATACGTGAACCACTAGATAGGTGGTGGTTAAGATAGGGAATACAAGTGACGAAAGAAAATCCAATATCAAATGATTACCCAAGAATTCATTTTAATTCAGCCAGCCGACGAGAAAGGCTCTAGATGAATAGCAACCAGGCAAGCCAAGTAACCTCAAGTAATACTTTTGGAGTGTGGTAACAGTAACCTACTATTAGAAGCCATTCAGGGTCTTTGCATGAACCTTAGAAGGCGTTCAAGTACGAATATGACTGTTTGCAAGATAATTGGTTGAGTAATGTAGTCGAAAGGAAGTTTAGATTACCAGACATACCAGTGAGAAAATGGGCTGCAGAGTTTGTATGGCAACTTGATCAATCACACGGTGGCTTAGAGACCTTCAAATACAACCTTGGAAATCATTACATTTCTAGGTGTGATTACCTCCCTACTAGATACATGCTGTCGATGTACATTAGTGTCATGTAATGTACATGTTGTGGTAACGAGGCTTGTTTGAAATGCCGTACGAAAAATGGAGCAACTTATGGGTAGTAATTACTGGCGTTGACATTAAATCGTAGGTAGGTAGATAGAGGGAGGGAGAGGCTATTCGCAGGAGAAAAACGGAATTGACCACTGGCGAAAACCTTCGACGATCTAATTGTTCCCTTTTAATTTAGAGATTTTGAGATTTTAACCGGTAGTATGATAACTGAAGGCTATCCAAAGACTTATTTAGTACTACTAACTATCATTAATCTATGTGTGGTTGATTTATCATAGAATTGATTGAAATGAGCAATTTTGGCATCTAGTTTCTCCTATGTATCGGCAGGTAGGTGGGTAGTGTTAGAGAAGGAGACGAGATCTAGACGATATCAAGTAGGTACTGGTAGTAGATACAACATCCCTTGGTAGGTAGATATGTGCAATAGCTTTCATCATGAATATAGATATCTGGTAAGTATGTTGATATAAAAAGTCGTTTCCTTCCCCTCTCTTGTCTCTCCTCCTTATCGTCTCCAGAATTGATTCATATTTTGGTGTATTGGTTGAATATCATTGATGGATATACTCCAGACTCCTTCTTACCCTCATCCGCCTACCTCCCTTCCTTATATTTCATCTACAAGAGAATTCATTCACCCTATCCTATCCTTTCATTAAAAACTGGACTCAAATTACTCAATCTTTATATTACTTCTTCCCATTCCTTTCCTTCTAGAATCCATTGATCATTCCTTTCCCAAGATTTCATCACGATTACAATTTACAAGCCAATTTATGACCCAGTCATCCTCTCGTTGTACCCAGTCAAATCGGTTAAGCTGACAGCGAAAAGGGTCGTAAAAAGGTCGGGCAGTGGAGAAAATTGAAAGTCTTTTCCGAATCCACGTTCAAGTCGTTCCAACTCAACAGGGAATATAATCAAGGAATTTTAATCCTCTTGGTACCTTCCCTACTTTCCCTACCTTCCCTACCTTCCCTACCGGCCGAGCAGTCTACCCAGTACCTAGCACCGCTGCACCGTGCCTAGGATTCGGAATTATCGAAGGTTTTGTCTCCTGCCATACATTGGGCAAATCACTCGTCGCTGAGTCTCGGTCTGGTAACCACCGCCGTTGAAGCCACCTTATCATACACTGATCATTGGGTTCAAAGATTCAAGAGATCGATAAAAACGTATTAAGCATTGGGGTAGAGAAGAGATGTTCATCGTCAGTTACCCTTTTGGAGAGGATCACAGTAATTCATTCATCCGAGGAGTTGCCATTACAATCAATCATTTTATATCATATACCACTTACAACCTACCAGCAGCAGCACCACGGAACAATCGATTATACATTATACTCACTCATCCCATACCCCTCCCACTCCCTCCCCTCTTTTGGAACAATCTCGCTCCCCTTCAAGACACCTACCTAGTACCCTCCCACCCTCCTACCCTCCTACCCTCCTACCCTCCTACCCCCTAGCTATATCATTCATCAATATCAACAAAAGAAATCCCAATCCCCCCGTCATAAATTGATTCACCTCCATTCATCTTACACAGATATTATTTTGGCCGCCAATTTTATCTACAAACCACACTCCGATCATATATAGTGTTTTGCTGCACTGTTCAACTAGAGATACTCGACACCCATACTGATTATCTGGTAATTCCCGTCCGCTACCAAATAACAGCAAGAACCATTACTTTACCCTCTTCCCCCCTTCATTGAGCGAACATTGGGCGACAACTACTCCAGTACTACTTTCCTGTACCAATATTGATTCGATTTACACCAAGGAGATACAGTAGAAACAGTCCACCCCGTCACTCGTTACCCTGTACCAATTTGATATTGCATGCAGATTTCAGTTTTGATTGGCTCAAAGTGTCACGGCAATTTACGAAACACTCGTCCTCCACTCAAAGCGGCGGACCTCCCAAAGTTCAAACGAAGGTCTGAGCAGTGACCAAAGATATGGACCAGGAAATCAAAACAACCAGCCGTAGGTTAACTAAGTTAACTAAAAGGCCACCACCATCCAAAGCTATAGCTTCATTCGAGGCAAGACAAAACGACAGCTCATCTTTTTCCTTCCATACATCTTTACGGAGTCAGCGTAGCTCTGGAAGCTTACAGCGAGCCCCATCGGCACCTTCTTACCCCAGATCTTACTACGCTCCAGGTCATACCCGAAAACTTACCTCTCCCCATCCCGCATCCAGTAATTCGTCTCTTGAGCATCAATATTCGAACACCTCTCCTGTGCTGGCCGGATCAGAATTCGTGCTTCAGCCCGTAGGCATGGG